GGCGATGATGTTACTGTATTCGTGTGCTCCCTCTGCACTTACCAATAACCTCATTTGGACCTTTTTCCTGGACCTCCAATTGAGCTTCACTCTCTGGGCTATCCAATTTGAGCTGTATTTTTGGTGTGTCAACAAGGGAAAATTAGGCCCAGTACGGCCTAAAGTTAATGAAGTTGAATAATACGTTTAACTAATAACTTATCATCTAACCATGTAATTAATACGTCCTAAAACTCCCAACCCCCAATTGAAACCCAATCCTCATCCTCAGAAACGCTCCCCACTCCAGAGTCGATTTCCTCCATATCCGAGAACCTCAACCTCAAATCTGTTCTTCCTCTCATCCCTAGGGCTCGATTCTCTGCTATTTGGAGCTGATTTGGCTCTGGAGAAAGGGGATTTCAGCTCCGTGCAAGTGCAAGCCCTCAAGCTTATCGGCTTCCTCAGTTCCCGCTCTCACTCTCAAGTCGACGAGGCCTTTATACGTCCGATTCGGCTCGACGCTCACTGGTTCCTAATTCTGGCTAACTATTCCCCATCATCACCGCATTTCTCGTCGTCATGGTATGTGGTGTTTTCGATTCCGATTTCAAGTAAGTTGTTCACCTCTCTCGCTTACGTATATTTTTCTACTTTTTGGGTAATATTTATTTGATGAAAAATACTACAATCCATTGTGAAATCGTGAATTAGAGTATCGGTTAAGGTGTTTTGAATGAGAAAAAGATTGAGTTCCGATTTTTCTTTTTCCTTTTCTTGGTATAAATTCATAGTTTAACCTGAAAAACAAAATAGTTATGGACCTTGTGACTTTTCTGAATTTGTTTCAGTTGAAATGTCTGAATATTTGGCTCATTGGCACACACCTATATGTATTAACTATGACAGCAGATGTGATTCAAGTAACAAATGAAGAATGCATCAAGTGTGGGATGGATGATTATGCATCTAAACGATTTTAATTGGCAGATATGATTTATTGTTCTATTGTGTTATTCAATTTGGGACTGAATGATTTAGATTTGCTGATTTGGCATAGGTTTCATGTTAATTGCTTGCCGAATAAGGGCCTAGTCAGGCTGCCACCATTGACTCTGCCATTGAAAACTTGCTCATTTCATCTGGTAAATTTTTCAACTATTGCTCTGAGGTTTGAGATTTCTTGTGTGTGATACATTTTTTGAGTGCTTTCTTCTCTCTGATTGAATATTCAGCGTGCCTTAATTTTTAAGATTTAAATCTGATTTGAATTGGCAGATATGATTTTTTATTCTATTATGTTATTCAATTTATGATTATGGGTTTTGTTGGGATTATTGTGTATCATTGTGCTCATGAAGCAATCATTCTCATTCTCAAACCCAGTTTCCTTATTAGAGATGTTATTTGATAATTTTAATCATTTACTTTTATGTTAATGGAAATGTTGTACGTTTAATTGCTGCAGGATGAATTTGAGACTGAAATTGAAGAACCCGTAGAGGGAGTTATGTGGGTAGAGAGGAAGAGAGAGTTCATAGTAGCATAGTTACTATTGGATTTTTAGCTTACAGATGGTTGATGAGGCAAAGATGGAAGATGCATGAGATGAACAAGCACAACATATACATTTCATATGTTACTTTTTTGAAGTGTCACTTTTTTGGGGGGAGGGCATTTGACATTGAATGTACTGGCTCATTGAGGGTATTGCTTAGTGTAATGTTAGTTTTTCTGTAGTTTTATGGAAAAGACAAGAGAGTGTGTATTGTGATTGCTCTTTTCTTGATTTTTCATCTATTTTATGCACATGTAAATACACATAATGCAAGTGATCGATTACATTAGTAAAAACCAAAAAATGTGACCATTTCAAAAATATGTCTTCCATCACATTTCATTGTCTTTGGAAAAATAGTGAGTTTAGTGCATGCAATAATATATTTTTTTTTTTGAATTTCGTCACTTTTGAGTGATTTGTCGCTTTTTAAAAAAAAATTGTCACTTTTTTAAAATTTTCGTCACTTTTTTGAGTTTGTGACTTTTTTTTTTTTAATTTTGTCACTTTTTGAGTGATTGTCACTTTTTCTTATCACGTTTTTTTTAATTGTTTGTTACTTTTTTTTTTAATTTATGTCACTTTTTTATAAAAATGAGATCGTGTCACTTACTTAATTTTATGCAGTAGCATCTAGGGATGTCAAAGTTGCTCGTCAATTTTATATAAGTGACATCGTGTCACTTTTTAAAATTGTCACTTTTTTTAGTTTTTTGTCACTTTTTAAGAAGATAAAAAAATGAAATAATATATAATATTTTCCTAACATAATCAGCACGTGGATTAGCTTGGACATACTGATTATTTTAAGAACATGATTATTGGTGTTGCACAAATGGATTTCACATTTTCATTGTCATTTTTTTTACGTAATCATTATGTAGATTGGTCTGAATATGGTGATTATTTTAAATACATGATTATTGGTGTTGCACAAATGGATTGTGTTATTTTGATATTTGTCACTTTTTTTTTTTTGAGTTCGTGTCATACTATCACTTAGTTTTATGCATTATCATCTAGAGATGTCAAAATTGTTCGTTAATTATATAAAAGTGACATTGTTTCACTTTTTAAAATTTTGTCACTTTTTATAGTTTTTGTCACTTTTTAAGCAGATAAAAAAATCACAAATGGATGGTACTATTTTGATATTTGTCACTTTTTTTGAGTTTGTATCATTTTTTGAGTGTTCACATTTTTTTTTTCAAGTTTTGTCACTTTTTTGAGAGTTTGTATCACTTTTTGAGAGTCACTTTTTTTATTTTCTCACTCTTTTTAAGTTTGTGTCACTTTTTTTTTAAAGTAAAAAAATGATAATTTTTATAAAAAAAAAGCGACATTGTGTCACTTTTTTCTTTTACAAAGTATTTTTTACTTCCTAAAAATCTTTCATATGATTTTAAGGGTATTTTTCAAAACATTCCTAATTTTAAGAGTATTTTTGTAAGTACCCCTGTCAACAATAAGTTTCAAATTCTCGACTTAAATAAATAATGTCTTTTAACGGTTTTTTTTTAATCTAAAAATTTGATTACATTGATTTTCGTAAGTTTTAGTCGATTACATTGATTTTCGTAAGTTTTAGTCCCCTTAACAAAAATACTGGATCAGCCCCTGTATAGGACGATTTATTGAAAGATTTTTAAGAATTATAAAGCACTACACTACACAGCTTGTTTGGAAACTATCTATAGAAAATCATTTTTTTCCCCAAATCACCCATGTGACTCATAGCTTTCTATATCTTTAAATCTTTTTAACTGCCAAAAAAAATAAAAAACCATTTTTCAGTTTAATTTAATTTCTTCCAAACAAGATCATGGACCTTGTAAATTTGACGAATCAATGAATATGAGATTTTAAACTTATGAAATGTTTGTACTTGATAAATTGGCTATTACATTTTTCCATGAGTCTAAAATAACGTGTTATATAAGAAAACTGTGCCCATGCAAGATTTTTTTTTTTTTTTTCTTTTAGTACTACTCTATTATTTTTAAGGGAAAATTGTATTAGCGGTGCCTAACATTTTCAATTTTTGCAAACTTTATCCTAACCTTCAATTTATGCCAACGAATGTCCCTAACTTTCAAAAATATCCAGCTGAATCCAAATACATTTAACCGTTAGTTGACCAAGAAAGTAGACTTTAATCAATTTTGACCAAATTAATAGTGGTAAATAGTAATTTTTAGAATTACCACATTAAATAAATAAAATAAATAAATGGTCTCCTCTCTTATCACCTGCTTTGAAAATTCACATTTAACATTCCTAGATAAATTCTAGATCTTGAAGCCTGATAAGCGAAATTGGTATGTATTAGTGTGTGTTTGAAACCCTCAAATCACAATTGATGCTCCAATGACGGTTGATGTTGTCCAGAGGACTCGCCATAATTGGGCTTCGGTCCCCGTCTGAGTCTTTTGGCGACGAGAGCAGTATTCTGCAGATGCCTAAGTCTTAATAATGGCGACCACGACGAAGTCGTTGCTAGGTTCTTCCAATCTGCTAATTCGATCAACTTTTTTTTCTTTCATTTCTTTTTTAGATCTTGCCAAGAAAAGTAGCCACCCAAAATTGTCTTCTTTAACACACATATATAGGGATTTATAACAACTTTAGGGATAAAGTGAAATTATATCGATCACTTTGATATGATGCAGGATTCTGTTGAGGTGAGGTGTGAAGGTTTTGGTGGCGATGGCCTCAAGTTCTTCATTCGAGGAATGAAGGCTTTGGTTTTGATTTCTCCTGGGGTAAAGATATTGTTGGCGAAGTCGTCGTTGTCTTGGGCTTGGTTTTGTGGAGGGTAGGGTGGGGTGGGGTGGGGTGGGGTTGGTTTTTAAATTTTTTGATTTAATTATTTTATTTCATTTTAATCGTTTTATTATGTAAAATTTACTATTTTAACCTTTTAAATTTGCTCAATCCTTTTGACTTTTGGTCAACTAATAGTCATTTGGACCCTAATTACATATTTTTGACAGGTTGAGACCTTTGTTGGCATAAATTAGACATTAGGGTAGAGTCTGCAAACATTGAAAAGATTAGGGATCGCTGCTGCAATTTTCCAGATTTTAATGGACAAAATCTCTAAAAACATATGACAAACGTTTATAAGTTTAGTAAGTTAAGTTTGCATCACAAAATTCCAATCAACTCGGATAAATATCATATCAATTAAGTACCAAAATATAAATCAACATAAAAGGAATTAAGCTATTCCGTTTAGCAAGTTTCAACTTTTTAAAATGTTTAATATAGTAACAAATTTCATTAGGTTCAAACGAGTAATTTGATCCGATTAAGACTCAAATGAGCACTCGAATTCTAATATTGATTTTCTCAAACAAGTAGTGGTATATTAAGAGATAAATTTCACATCAATTAATTACCGACAATATAAATCAGTGTATAAGTTATATTCCTCATAAAAATATTGACCTTTTAAGATGAAATTTCAAATTTTAATAAAATAAATATATTAATAACATAAAACCATGTGGTCTACAGACATTTGAATAAATCATGTGAGTGAATAATTTTTTCTTCGCATTGAATATATAAGCTTTAAGATCAGATTTCTTCAATATAAAATCTAAAGATTGACATCATTTAAAAGAAATCAAAATATAAATAGATAAAGTTAGTTCCGCATCTTACCCTTTAAACTTTTAAACAATGTGATTCAATTTAGTCGAGTAAAAGGAGAGGAAGAAGTTTGGATTGATGTTGGCTGGTGATGGTGGCGGCTTTGGATGATTTCACTTTGATCATCTTGTGTTCCAAATATCCAAAGAAAAGAGTGGCTCTAAAGCTTCAAACTAACACTCATTGGATACAGACCAAGCCCAACATGCCAGCGGCCTCGTGGACCTTGATTTCATCCAATGAAAGAAATTGACCATTGAATGTCCCAGGACAAACTGGCATTTTCAAACGACTTGCGCTAACAGTAACGTACCCTTAGTTAGGTCGGCCAGTAGGCGATGTCCGTACAAAATTTTCTTTTTCTTTATTTTTTAGAAAAAAATCATAACCACAAATATTTCAAAATATAATTTAAAAATAACAAACTTGTCAAAAATTTTAAAAAATAATGTGCTCCCTTTTGGTGATATCTGATAACATATTGACATCTATAATTTTATTAAATAAGTCACGGTCACAATAAAACATCATTTATGATCACGGTCACATAAGACAATTCTGGGTCACAATCACATACATAGTCACAAATCCCACATTTAATAGGTCACAAATTATCCAATTAGTTGGTCGCGGACACGGTTCAATCCGCTCAAAATGACCACCACTATCTCATATCCACAATCACCACCATCACCTGCACCTCAAATCCAAACAACCACCACTTCCTCTACCAACATTATCCTACCACTGTCGGCACCACCTTAGTCCACAACAACCCCACCATCTTCACCTCAATTTCACAACCATTAACACTTGCACCTTAAATTCAGATCCAAATCCAAATCCGTAGCCTAACTTTTTGATCATGGGCATTGCCAGAAAATGTGTTGAAAGTCATTGTTCTAGGTGTTATAAAACAAGTCAATTTGTAATAATCAGGTGATAGAACTTAGATCACTTATTATGAATATCAAAGACAAGACATGCGGGCAAGATGAAAATAATGAATTACACAAGAACACATGATTTAACGTGGAAACTCAAATGCAGGAAATCCACGGGCAAAGGAGCTATTCACTATGATCAATAGCAAAATATGAAAGTCTCTCTTTCTATAAACTAGATTCTCACATTTTGATGTTCTCTTAATGATATACAATATTTTGTTGTTCATATTCAAGGCTAGATCATGTGGAGGCACAAGAATTGCGATCAGAATCGAATTCCTCTAGAAGAGGTAGTGCTCTAGCACCAGCCAGCTGTATCAATATTGTGCTTTCAGCGCCTAGGCGACCCGTCTCTATCCCAAGTACTCCAAACGTGTTTTTCATACA